GGGGCGAAATTTTGAAAATGAGGTTTGACCTTGACCGAGGAATTTCAAGGTCAAATTTTTTTATTATTGTATTCTGTAGTACTCATCGAGACGAGAAGAAAAGTTCCTATGAACTGTATGTGTGAAATCAACCGTTTTCTTGTAAATTAATATTTAAGTGCGTTAAGGAGAATTTTTCAAAATTGAATTTGTCAAAAAGGAAGGTTCAAACGAGAAAATACCATAGGAACTTTTGTACTTATTTTGTCCTTAGAATCACCTCCCTTTACCCTGATTAGTATTTGTGTCGATAATTAACCTATATTATGTATTATGAACACAGTTATGAACTTTGACCTTGTGTTCTGCCGAAACGGTCAAATTTACACCTATAGTTGCTGATCAACTTTTCATCCTCTCACCAAGTACTACGAGGAAATGTAATAAAAAAATTTGACCTTGAGTTTGAGAGCAAGGTCAAATTTTTCAAAACTGCACCAAGAGATATAATCGCGTTAGGTTGAGTGTGGTACGATTTTGAAAGGGATTGTACTTGTCGAAGTCGCAAAATTGACTCAAAAGCGACTGTGCAAGTACGTCCCATGGTGGATGATCGATAATCCAAAAGCGACGTTCCGCAGCGGTAGGCGCGTGATTTTCGCGCGAGAAGTTGGTAGAATGAAATTCACTTACCTTGCCAGGTCCCAGAAGAGAGCCGGGACGCCCCGTCGAAAGTTGCCGTAACAATGGGAGATAATTAATGAAGGATGAGACACAGGCTCTGAGGCGCGAACTTTGCCCGTCGTTCGACCCACTTCCTGTCCAGACAATTTGTCAATGTAACCCGGATTTTTCGATCGCCCGGAATCTCGTCCCACGGGATCCGATAAAGGAACTGCACGGATCGTCTGTTTCTTCGAATAATTATTCGAACGTCCGCAGAAACGGCCGTGCTCGTTTGTTCGCGGCACCGCGATCGATATTGCGGTTCTTACATCCTGAACAACGTTTCAATTTAACTCTAAGTTCGTTTTCAAACAAACTCTGATAATACCACTTAGGTAGTTTCATGTCGGGTGATTAATTTCGTGTCGCGGGAAAGTGTGACGACGGCTATTTGCGAAACGTTGGGAAATGATATATTTTTATTTTTCATGCGTATTCAAATTTTAGATGTTGAAGTTACTATGAGTTCGTAGGTTTGCAACGAATTGGTGCAAACTTTAAGTTATTTTCGATAAGTATTTTTAAAGTACTTTAGATGGAAAATGTATGCGCAATAAAGTTACTTCTGTGTGCTGTATTTATTATGTGAAACTTACTGCGCATAATTATTACTTCTTGTTATTCACTGCATAAGGTATTTGTACCAAAATTCATAGAAATAACTGAATTGACTGAAAGTTTGATAAATCCGACCTTATTTTGTTAAGATAATCATCTTGAAAGCGATCTTGACAGCAAGAGTAACGCGCAGTCGACTATTATGCGCGGTAGACATGCGCAGTTACTTATCCTGCGTACTAGATATGCGCAGTAAGCTATTCTGCGTACTAGACATGCGCAGTAGCTTATCCTGCGTACTAGACATGCGCAGTAGCTTATCCTGCGTACTAGACATGCGCAGTAGCTTATTATGAGCACTAAACCTGCGCAGTAAATTCAATAACGAACTGTGAAGTGTGTTTAACTATTTGCAACACGTACTATAGTATTTGTAACAATAATTATTCGAAGAAACATGGGTTGGAGCAAGGTTAGGGTACGAAATGAATGTCAGACTGCTACAATATAACGTTGCGTTTATTATTATCGTTATTCATTAACCACAATCGTTAAACGTTCACTTTCGTATGATACAACGTTAGTCTCTATACACACTCTCCTCTCTCATCGTCTCCCTAAATGTCCTCTTTAAATCTGCTTACACCTAGTTCAATGGTAGTTTTACGTGTCCTCTCTTTTAGTTTATATACAAAAGCGCCGGATCGTCCTAAGCTACGAACAACCCGATAAATTGTTCTCGCGACTGGTTGGTCTAGCACACGATTTTCGATTCGTACCATCCACACAAATTTATTCCCTAAATATCGAGCTAGCTTTCGTGAGATCGCTCGTTCCGCCTAGGGAAAACGTTCGTGGAATTAGTTTTCGTCGCTTGTTCAGCGGCCGTTACGTGTATTGGCTACAAAATAATTGACAAAAACCTGTCAAGTATGTCGATCGTTTATCAGCTCGTTTCTGACCGGTTAACCCCAATCGACGTCTGGAGCGTAACCGTTGCATGTGCGAGCGGAACGAGCGGGAGTAGTTTGCTAACAACGACAGGCACACGATTTTGCTTTCGTTCTTTTCGTACCCTTTCACTTAGGAGACGTCGCTGTAGAGATGTCGCGGGCACATTTAGAGTCTAGGAGATCTTATGGGAATTTAGGAGCACTAGTGGGCAACAGTGGGTATCGGTGGACAGTGGGTACTTGTGGGCAGCAATGAAGGTTAGTGGGTACTGGTGGGCACTAGTGGGCAAGTTTAAAGACAGTTTAAGAAGAGCTTAAAGAGGGAGTTTGGTACAACATAGAAATTCTGGGGAGAACTTAAGGAAAACATAGGAAGGGCTTTGGGACCTTGACATTTTTGGGGTTTTTTAGTATTTGAACCTAGGGAATTTTGGAAGATTCGGGTTCTGTAGATTCTAGTCTTTGGGACGCTGATTATTTTGGGATATTTGGGTTTTCCAATTTTGGAATTCTTTTTGCAACTTTTTTTGGGATACTGGAACTTTTGGATTTTGGAATATTTTCGGCGATATACGAAAATAAATCAGATCGATTCCACTTACCGACTGTATTAAACAAAATCAATATACTTCACATATTTCAAAATCTGTTATTTCATCGCAGTTCAGCTATCTTTATTCCTGGATCGAACGAGTAACATGAATATTTTATTTTCTCTATATAAATGCTGTGATAAAACGTATAAATATACGTTATAATAATCGATACTTTGATGTTTGACTTCGAAAATGGGGCATTCAACAAAAAAATTTAGAAGTTTCACTTATAAGAAATACAAGTGCTGTGCAGTTTGCAGATTGGAGTGTAACAAAATGTTCGAAACAATTGGTATTGTAATTTTAATTTTAAACAATTATAAATAATTTTAAATAATTGTTGATAATTTTAAACAATTTTAAATAATTATAGATAATTTTAAACAATTTTAAATAATTTAAAATAATTATAGATAATATTAAACAATTTTAAATAATTTAAAATGATTATAGATAATTTTAAATAATTTTAAACAATTTTAAACAATTTTAAACAATCTTAAATAATTTTAAGCAATCTTAAATAATTTAATACTTGCAATTACTATTTCAATTTCAAATAATATTGTGACTACTAATCGTTATAACTTTTTTAATTCCACCATATTTAATTGATCCATTAAATAAAATAATATCCGCCAGAATAGATGTCAGATTCCAGTGCAAAATATGTCAGTCAAACTCTTAGTGACGCGACACTTGAAGATTTAACTACGATTGAAAAAGTTAAAATGCAACGGTAATACAATCGGTTTATTCGTAGAAGGAAACAATTATTCTTCAAAATGATTTACCGCGGTTCCCTCTACAGCGATCGATCTTCCATCAACACGGTTCCAGTGAAAGGGTCGACTGAAAAATTCGGAGAGACAAAACTCCAGTGAATGATTTGTAGACACGCAACAAAGGAATTTCAAATTCCGGTTAATTTCGCGCCAAGACGCGGCCATTACGCGAGTGGAGGACAAAATGGCCGCGCACTGGGCTACGCTTTCTGAAACATTTCTGAAACATTTTATGGACTATAAAGAATTAGTGGTCTTCTTAACTGTTGTATTCTAACAAATTTAGCAATATTTATATGAACATAATAAGTAATAATATTATAAATTTGATAAATAATATTAGTGTTCACATAACCTCAATAATATTAGTAACATAATACTGTAAATAAATTTAAAGACTATTTCAAAGATTTATTGTTCAAGGATAAATAATTAAATACGTTCAACAAATTCAATATTGTTATCAAAATATAACTCTAAAAATTATAATTAAAAGAAAATTTTTGTACAATAAAATCATTTACTCAATTCATTACATTCTACATTTAATTAATATTTCTGACATTATTCTTTTTAAACTTTTAATTTATATACAACTTAAGTTGCAAAATTAATTTTAATTTTTTTGTCTTTAAATTTATGATCATTCACGTCTTCAGTTTTTGTCCAAGAGTTTTTATCTTCGAAGTTTAATCGTCGTGTTTCTTGAGGTCCACAAAATGTTCATTAATATTTCAGTTGTCGAAACTGTGTTTCGGCCATTTTCTACACCGGCCATTTTCTTTTACACTCAATCGACTTCATGTAGGTCGCTCATCGAGACAAACGTGCCTCAAAATATTTCCATTCGACGGTACATTTGCCTCGATCCGGGCTACCAGAGGAAAAGAACGACAGGAACGATTTCCTGAACGTGTTCCACCGACAAATACAAATTTCTATCCCGCAGGAATACACTTATCATCCCCTGGAACCCGGGTCGTCTCACATTAGATATCGTCTCTCCCTGTAAATTCTCGAGCAATTCGATCAACATAGAATAACAAATTTTAATATAGAGAACATAACTTTAAGGTTAGGTTAGCAAGGTTAGATTATGTCTAGGTTAATATTAATTAGGAATAACAAACTTTAGAATTTAACAAATTTGATGATGTAATGATTTTGATTAAGTTTGAGGTTAGGTTAGGTCAAAATTTACAATCAACAATGAACTATAGAATGTAACAAAGGTGAACACAATTTTGAAATATGAAACATTGCAAATATATAATATAGACGTATACAATAATTATATACTTTTGAAATGGTAACATAACCTAAAAATAAATTTTTAAAATCAAAATAAAATATACGTATCAGTGTAAGTAACAAAAGTTATATAACATTGCATGCATTTTACAAATACAAAAATTAATTTTTCCCACCCTGAAAACATACCCATAGAATGAAAACAAAAAACAAATAAAAATTATAGGAAATTGCACTAAAAGGATTCGGTTGCGATCCATTTCAGAAAATAGGTTATTCCGGATAATAATCTGACGAGTCTATCGTGTTACATCGACCGTAGGAAATCTGTCACTGGACGAATCGTGGCTCCTAAAGCTTATTTTTGTGCCATTCACTCGTAAGATGATCTCGCGTGAACCTGTCGCGTTGAAAGCCGAAACGTCTGTCTTCCGCGTAGTAGTCGGTTGAGATTCAGACGACGTTGTGCGTAAGGGATCCATCGCCTTGCCACTTGTTGGCTGGAAAAAAGAAGTCATCTTTTCAGATTCTCATCGAGACAATCCCTTCGCTAGATGGTAAGAGGTTTGGGGGCCAAAGGAGCCTGGGTAATGTCCTGGGTTACCTCTATAGTGCATGTCCTGCGCCATTGATGGGCACTTGGCGTCCGGCCGCTGTTTACAAACAGACAAAATGATGTTCTTAGTTGTATTCGTGTTGAAGTGTGAATAATTGTTAATATGGGACAAGAGCAAAGATAGCGGGGTTAATTGTAACGAGCCTTAAGAAGTTTAGGTTCAACAAGTTTTTACTTGGCAAGCTTAGTTTTAACGAAATTAGGTTTAGCAAGTTTTGATTTAAGTTTAGGTAGTAGGAAATTAAAGAATTTCTAATTTAGGCGTAAGGAAATTGAAATTGTAAGGAAGTTCCTTGCACCCACATATTTATGTGAATTATTATATACCAGGTGTACCGGTTAATGATGCACGTTTAGTACAATCCAGATTAGTTACACGTGTAATCTAGCTACTTTCTGACACATTATGTGTGTGGTGCGCCATTATTAGCTTGTGAAACATGCGGACGCACCATATGCGTCATACCCGCCTATATAGGTTCCGGCCAAACCGTGCGAGATACGACTTTTTGTCAGAGAATCAAAATTTCTTAGAATGGGTCAAAACCCCCAGAAATATTGTCAAAATTGCCGTAAGGTGGCTGACGGAGGAGATGTTGATCAGGGCGGGATCCGTCGGCGTCATACATGCCTATGTAGGTTCCGGTCAAACCGTGCGAGACACGACTTTCTATCAAAGAATCAAACCTTCTTAGAATGGGACAAAACCCCCAGAAAAATTGTCAAAAGTGCCATAAGGTTGCTAACAGAGGAGATATAGAGTAGGGCAGTATCCCCCACGGGGCGAAAGCGGCATATGAGTCTATGGCTCTCGAAACACCATCTGTATTCGAAGAAAAATAACCAAACCAATACAATTAAAACCCCCATAAAAGAATCCATTATTCAACACACAGCATTTCCATGCATCCCCAAAAACGTGGACATCGGACGTCAACAAATAACGTATTCGCATTACGGTTTCAGTTGTGCTATTTACTTGTGTAATTAATTATCCACGAATTTAATTATGTAAACCGTTCAGGTGAACGGAGAAACGTATGTATTCATAACTCTTTGTCGTAGCAGCGATAAATTGCGAAAAGAACCGCAACTATTTGAAACTAGACGTACCACAAAAAATATGATGCTAACTCGAAATCTGAATATTGGTTGAAAGGTTCGTAAGAAAATAATATGAGGGACTGTGAATACTTGCGTGTCGTGCAATCCGGAAATTAAGAATTATTAACCGGGACAGCTGGTAGTTGTACTTAACCCTCGTTTATGTCATGATGCATCAAGTTACTTAATGTATCAAGTTACAGAATGTATCAAGTGACTTAATGTATCGAGTTACGTAAGGTATCAAGTTACAGAATGTATCGAGTTACTTAATGTATCAAGTTACAGAATATATCAAGTTACTTAATGTATCAAGTTACTTAAGGTATCAAGTTACAGAATGTATCAAGTTACTGAATGTATCAAGTTACAGAATATATCAAGTTACCCAATATATCAAGTTACAAAACATATCAAGTTACAGAACACATCAAGTTACATAATACATCAGTTATGCAAGTTACCATTTGTTGCCTAGCTATATGGGTTCAAGGAATCGTATCATAATTAACTAGTGAAAAATGATCTCCATAAACAGTAAGTTAGGTCAATTTACCTTGTGGAAATCGATGTTTGTCCGTATAGTCCTGAAGTGAAGATCCTGCAGCGGCCTCGAATTGTTTCCCAAGGGTGCTTTCGGTGTGCTCTCCGGGCCCTGCGTTAGTCTCCTTAGTGCGTAAAGCTGGAAATGGGATTAGGATTACGATGTAACGATGCTATTCCCTCGTTCAATATTTAACCGTAAAGCAGAGCTTGTTAAGTAATGGCACGGAGAAAATGGACGGGAACAAGAAACGGGAACGTTCTGACGTCCGCTAAAGTGGATCTCGAAAGTAATGCACTCAGGGTATCGATATCAATGACCCACCTTAATTATTTATACATTCGTCGCCTAAATGGAAACTTCACTACATAAATAATTTTAAACTGTGACCGTCATGCATATTTAAATTAATCATAATTTTTTTTCACCCTCTAAAAATTTAGCTGAGAAATTTAAATATAAGTGTTATGTCTATTGCATTAATTACTTAAAATTACTGCAAGATAAATATTGTATTTAGCATATTCCGTTAAGTAACCCGCCGGTTAAAGTGGATCTTGAAGGCAATACACTCAGGATATCAATGTCAATGGCTTATTTAAATATTTAATGTCTGCTAATAAAACCTAGACTGATAAAATTCAACGAACCTTAACGCGAAAGCTCTTTCGGGAAATTGGATTCGCTTCCTTCGTAATAATTAATTTCGGTGGTATGCCGCGTTTAAAGATATCCGTTATTACAAGTTATTTCCGTGACATTGCCAGACAGGATTATTTCGAGACTATATTGTGGCTATTAAATATATTGGGAAGCTTGATAATTTATCTCGGATCTATGTTGCAATTGACGAACATTTGTAGACATTTCTATTCTTGTACATTTACAGGTTTAGTTCGTATCAAACGTAACGTAGCTTATGCAGGAGTAAATTATTTTTTTTGACATGAAATTTTGACTAAAATTATTGTGACACTTTCCTGATTAAAATGAGTCCAAACACGATGTGATTCAGAAAATATTTACTTGTTTCATATATTTCACTTATATCGAATCATCACTAAAATCACAAGATTACATGTCACCAAAAAATAATACAATAAATACCTTATAATATACGTTAAAAAAATAATAAAAATCAGCAACACGTCTTTCGATTTCTACCGCAGCGTATTTTCCCACTTCAAAGCACATAATCCTCGATAAAGTCAATAAATCCAATTCAAATCCCATCATATTTGTACTCATTTTGCTCAGAAAAACATTTCCAATGCACCAGTAAAAGTTTCGCAACGAACAAACGAAAGATAAAAAAGTTTCACTTGCACCGCCCCGAGTTTAATGGCGGCCGTTCATTTTTTCGCTCGTATCGAGACTCCGGTGACGACAAAGTTTGACTCACCTCTCGTGCTGTTATGTAGATGGGTTTGTTGAGGATGAGCCATACGGCTGTTTCCCAACAACCTGGATGAGTCGTGCTACCCTCGTAAGTCATGTAACCGTTCGTGTCCGGAAGCAGACTCTTCAGGGACAGATGACGAACCGGCGCAGCATCGCCTGCACAGAAATAGCAATCTTTTGTTAGCTCTGACGTTTATCTCGTTGACAATCAAAATTTGATATTCATACGCTACATAGTCGAAGAAACATTGGACTGAAATGAAGATAAGATGACTGCGCTATCTGAGAATAGTTTGACCTCTGACCTTTTCGCAGTGCGAAACAAGTTGCAGCTTGTACTTAAATATTTATACCTTTGTGAATGGGGAAGTTTTTCACGTTTATATATACATTATGAAAAAGTTAGATAAAATGTTGAACAAATAGTATTAAGCGTTGGATAACAAATTGAATAAGTAACAGTATAACAGAAAATTGAATAAAAATGAAAAAAATGAATTTGTATGAAATTGAAAAAAAAAATGATATAAATATAATAATAAATTGTATACAAAAATTGAATAAACATCGTCAAGAAAGTAAATAAAAAATTCACTAAATGGTTTTAAAAAATTAGATAAAAAACATTGTACAAATATTAAAGCAAAAATATATAAAAATAGATAAAATAGATAACAGAGATAAAATAAAGTACATAAAGTAGACAATATAGATAAAAATAGAAAAGGTGATGAAATAGATAAAATAGAGAAAAATAGATAAAAGTAGATAAAATGATAAAATAGACAAAATAGATAAAACAGGTAAAATAGATAAAATAGATAACAGAGATAAGATAAAGTACATGAAGTAGACAAAATAGATAAAAATAGAAAAGGTGATGAAATAGATAAAATAGATAACAGAAATAAAATAAAGTACATGAAGTAGACAAAATAGACAAAAATAGATAAAAATAGATAAAAGTAGCTAAAATGATAAAATAGACAAAATAGATGAAAATAGATAAAAATAGATAAAATGATAAAATAGACAAAATAGATAAAAGTAGATAAAATGATAAAATAGACAAAATAGATGAAAAATAGATAAAATAGATAAAAATAGATAAAATGATAAAATAGACAAAATAGATAAAAATAGATAAAAAGAGATAAAATAGATAAAATAAATAAAAAGAAATAAAATGATAAAATAGACAAAATAGATAAAAATAGATAAAATAAATAAAATAGAAAAAAAAATAAAAAAATATTCACTCCTTGCAACTGAGCTATAAATTGTCCCTACTTAACACAAGAACGTACTGAAAGCTCTTTACCCGAAAATAGATAAAAATAGACAAAATAGATAAAAATAGATAAAAATAAATAAATATTAAAAAAAATAAAAAAATATTCACTCCTTGCAACTGAGCTATAAATTGTCCCTACTTAACACAAGAACGTACTGAAAGCTCTTTACCCGAAAAAGGCCAATTTTGTCCTCAACTTTATCGCGAATTTCTTTGATCTCGCATAACAGCAAGAACGGCCGAATTCGCGACAAAGTGAAAACAATCTGGCCGAAGGTAGAAGATGCACTTTTGATCGGAAGTGTTTTGCAGTTCTTTTTGCAGGGACAGTGGATGTAACGGAGAAAAAGGGTGAGTTGCATCGTACGGATTCGAGGGCGTATTTGCATGCTAAACGATCAAAATTCGCCGCGTCCCCTTATTCTATCGTTCGGACGTTGCGTTGCATATTCAAGAACGTTATTTCGAACGCGACAAAATTACTCGATATTCGTTCGTTGGTGCTCTTTGAACTTTGACCCGCGAGGCTGCCGGCTTGAAAAAAACAAGCTCGGCCGACGCTCTGTGCCACGGAAAAAGAACTTTGTTACGATGCAATATCTATTTACCCGGGCAAACCTGGAGATTCAATAAAAGAAAATTCGGTTACCACGTAACACTCGTGACGGGCGCGAATAATCGATAGAATTAATTTCGAGTTTAGCGACGTGATGGATAACTCGATTTTTGTTTCGAGTTTATGGTGAGAATTATAGCGGATGATGAATATCCGAGCGGTTTTGGTGATAACGATCTTTTGACCTGTAGGTTTTTGTAGACGAATAATATTTTGGGTGGGTTTCATCGGGTTTGTGAATTAAATTCGAATTATTTGAATACTGGTGGAATTTGAATAATGAATTCAATGATTCGAATAGTCGAATTCGAAACCTTGAATACTTAAATATTAGAGCACTCGAGTTTTTAAGATCTAGTAGTCAAGCTTGAAATTCGAATAATTCGAATATCCGAATATCATTGAGATTCAAGTCTGAAATTCAAATAATTCGAATACTAATAATAGAATATTCAAGTGTTCGAATAACAGTAGAATTCAACCTTGAAATTCGAGTAATTTGAATACTCAAATGCTGGAATAAAATAATATTCGAATATCAGTAGAATTCAAGATTGAAATTCGAATAATTTGTAGACTGGTGGAATTTGAATTATGAATTCAATGATTCGAATACTCGAATTCGAAACCTTGAATACATAAATACTAGAGCACTCGAATTTTTAAGATCTAGTAGTCAAGCTTGAAATTCGAATAATTCGAATATCCGAATATCATTGAGATTCAAGTCTGAAATTCAAATAATTCGAATACTAATAATAGAATATTCAAGTGTTCGAATAACAGTAGAATTCAACCTTGAAATTCGAGTAATTTGAATACTCAATTGCTGGAATAAAATAATATTCGAATATCAGTAGAATTCACGTTTGAAATTCGAATAATTTGAATACTGAAATTTTAGAATACTCAGATATTCGAATACCAATAGAATTCAAGCTTCAAATTCCAGTAATTTCGAATTAGTACTCAAACATTTGGAATATCAGTTGAACTCGTGTTGGAAATTCAAATAATTTGAATACTCAAATAAGAGAGAACTCGAATATCCAAATAGTTCAGGTAGTTTAGATTATTTGAACAGTCGAATATTCAAAATATTCATATTACTTGAATTATTCAATTGATGGTGTATTTAAACTCTCCAAATTACACTAATGATGATGTATTCTAATTATTCGAATATACCAATTATTCGAATATTCAAATTATTCGAATCACTTGAATATTCGAATTATTCAAACAATTCAAACAATTCAAACAATTCAAACAATTCAAACAATTCAAACAATTCAAACAATTCAAATAATTCGAAATATTAAATTTATTTAAACATCGACGTATTCGAATTATCCAAATCATCCGAACATTCAAATACTCGAGTTATTCGAATATTCGAGTCCTCGAATTATCCAAATCATTGGAACCTTGATATATCCGAACTATCCAAATAATCTTAATTCTCAAATACCATATTTATTCAATTATTCTTAAATATTTCTCTTTGACTCATTCAACTACTATCAAAATACCCAAATAACTACAATACAACCAAGCACACAAATTGTTCAAATTTCGAATTTAAATTCTGCAACCACTCGAAGCTTAGATTACTCAGATACTCGACAATTCGAGTTTTCTTTGCGTCCGTAACGCCACACGTAAAAAGGGAAAACCGCGGATGATCGTTTAAGCGTTTCCAGTTACCCGGCCTCGATATCCGGAAACGCAACAGTTGCCAGGGAAATCCGTTTCTCGGCAGAAAACGATCCGTATCAACATCTCGAATGACACTCGAGCCACTTTTCCCCTCATTGATCCCTGTGCACACGGTGAATTATGCGAGAACGTCAGGTATCACGAGGTTCGCCTGGAATATCACGGCGCACTCGTTTCGAGTGCTCTGACGAGCGTGTTCGAGCGTGTTTCCTTTAGTCGTTCGCAACTTCCACGCGGAGTGCCGATCATACGTGCGTCCACCCTCCTGAACAGAGAACGCGATATAATTCCACGAACTTGCGACGAATATAAATTTCACCCTACTGAACGGCAAGTCGACGGAAATCGCGATTGTCCAAATTGTTTAGGATTTTTAGATTGTTCAGATTGGACAGATTGTTCGGATTGTTCAGACTGTTCGCATTGTTCAGATTACTCAGACTGTTCAAGTAGTTCAAATAATCCAAACAGTTCAAATGGTTTAAGTAGATGAAATGGTTCAGATGGTTCAAATAGTTCAAATAATTCAAGTGGTTCAAATTGTTCAAATAGTTCGTACGATTCAAATGGATCAAATGATTCAAACAGTTCAAATAGTTCAAGTGGATCAAATGATTCAAGTAATTTGAATGATCCAAGTGGTTCAAATGGTTCAAAAGGTTCAAATGACCTAAGTAGTTCAAATGGTTCATATGATTCAAATGGATGAAATGATTCAAACAGTTCAAATAGTTCAACTGGTTCAAATGGTTAAAATGGTTCAAATAATTCAAGTGGTTCAAATTGTTCAAATAGTTCCTACGATTCAAATGGATCAAATGATTCAAACAGTTCAAATAGTTAAAGTGGATCAAATGATTCAAGTAATTTGAATGATCCAAGTGGTTCAAATGGTTCAAAAGGTTCAAATGACCTAAGTAGTTCAAATGGTTCATATGATTCAAATGGATGAAATGATTCAAACAGTTCAAATAGTTCAAGTGGATCAAATGATTCAAGTAATTTGAATGATCCAAGTGGTTCAAATGGTTCAAAAGGTTCAAATGACCTAAGTAGTTCAAATGGTTCATATGATTCACATGGATGAAATGATTCAAACAGTTCAAATAGTTCAAGTGGTTCAAATGGTTCAAATTGTTCAAATGGTTCAAATAATTCAAGTGGTTCAAATTGTTCAAATAGTTCGTACGATTCAAATGGATCAAATGATTCAAACAGTTCAAATAGTTCAAGTGGATCAAATGATTCAAGTAATTTGAATGATCCAAGTGGTTCAAATGGTTCAAATGGTTCAAAAGGTTCGAATGGTTCATATGATTCAAATAGTTCAAATAGTTCAAACAATTCAAACAATTCAAACAATTCAAACAATTCAAACAATTCAAACAATTCAAACAATTCAAACAATTCAAACAATTCAAACAATTCAAACAATTCAAACAATTCAAACAATTCAAACAATTCAAACAATTCAAACAATTCAAATAATTCAACTGATATCAGCAATATTACGAATAACAGTGTTAT